GTTTTGGAAAGCTCTCGAGGTAAGCTACAAGAATATGCATTGAAAAATGGAGGTTTCCATTTAAGAAATTAAAGGTGACCTTCACGTGATCTTCAAACGACTATCCAAGGTCAAACCAATGACACCATCTTATGTGCCCCTCGAAGTCACAAAACTTTTGTCTGAAACATTTTTCTTTAAAATGTCGCGTTTACGAAAAAATCGGGTGAGACGGGTGGTCTGGGACACCCTGTATAGTTCGTGTACAGTACGCTGCCGAAAGATAGGAAGATTTTTAATAATAACGATACTCAACGGATGCGCGATATCAAATGAGCAAAGAGTGAGTAGATGATGCAAAGTTCCTCGAGGTTTGCATATGAAGGCTGTGACTCAACAACGTAGAAGAAGATTCTTGAGAAGTTTCGGCATTACGCATGTTTCTCTTATTCTTCTTTTTTCTTATAATAATCAAACGTGGCATCTTGAATAGGAAACTTTGTGAAACGTAGATTTGAATTTTTACCTTACAATTGTATGGCGACGGAGTTGTGAGAAATATAGAAATTTATAGAAATACTGCACAGACAGAAGGCAAATTCAGTGATATAAAATGTAATATAAATTAAATGTAGAGTTCATAATGTGTTCGCTAAATGTATCATATGTACCGTAATAAAACGATAACCAACAAAAACAAGAAACGTCCATAGTTCTATATATGAAGATCGTAACAATTTTGTTTTGATGTAACGAATTCGATTAGTTTATTGTATGAATAAATAAAAATTAACCGAAATGAAAGATCGACGAAATATCAATGTAACGTTCGGTGCACTGTGATTCGTAGCATTCATGTCTGAATATCAAAATGTCAACGACTGGACATCGATGTTTTGTTTTGAATCATCCCTACTATCTATAAATTTTCATTCTCTACAGCTTTCAGCTATTTTTTTAACGCTGTTGCACCGTTATGTAGTCACTTTGAGCACTTTCCTTAACTTCTCCGGTACGACATACGTTCGCCGCGTAGTATTACTTGATGGCCGAAACAAACGCAAGATACTCTCATGTAACAAGTGTTTTATGATGGGTTTACATGAAAATACAATATGATAATCGTTCTATGCCTTTCGTGGTTGTCGACTTTGGTCGACGATCGTACCGAAGAGGCTAAAGACAAAAATGTGTGAATACACTACGCTAGCTCAGTGTGTAAGAAGAATTGGAAACACGAAAACGTCTGTAACTCGGAAACAAGATTAGATAGAAAAGTTCAACAAATATTTATATGAATATTTATGTATTATTTTTATCCGGTAAATTGATTTCTTATATTATGCCCACATGTTATGAGTACTATATATATATATAAAATTCTCTGATCTGTAAATTTAAATTTATATATGTACGATGTAGAACAAAATTTGTATCTTATATTACATGTGATTAAATGATATATAATATGTATCAAATATCATAATATAGTCATCATAGTTACTATATATTGAGATTTTTTTTTTTAACTTTTTCTCCACACACACATACACATACATAACACATTGTAGGGGAAAATTATGATTCTCGAGCATCAATTACAAACATATTGTCGAAGAAAATAAGAATACACATTTTTCTCATTCTATTTTATTAAGATTATAGAGGAAAAAGAATATATATATATAAATACTGTTTGTTAATATATAAACATAGACGGCGAATTCTGAATTATCATATTTTTCGATATCTTTTACAGCAGATAATTTTATATTCGGTGATCACACGTAAGAGATTCTTTATGCACTAAGATATCTTTTTTGTGATTCCGTGTAAATTCAGAATCTTTTTTATTGTTACTTATAGCTGTATTCGTATAAAATATAAATACCAAACAAGTAACTGCATTATGACTATCCATTCACAGGTACTTAATCTTTCTGTAGTCTTTAATAGAAGATTTTTAAGCTATGTTCAAAGATAATATATCCTTATTATTGCGCAATTGCGTTTAATTTTCTACATTTTAGGTGATCTGATTTATAATTTTACTTATATAATATAGAAAACATAAAAAATGCACAGATGTAAATTCGTTTGCAAAATGGTTTGAACACATTTTTTCCAGTAAGGTTAGATATAGTCTGACAGGAACTGAAATGACAGTATATAAGACATTCGATGTTACAACTGCAACGGAAAGGATTCAGAAAAAACATATTTTTATCTGTCAGATAAGAATATTGTTGCGTTCGTGTCGCGGGTCCGCGCTGAAATTAGTTAGGAATTAACGACAACTAAAGGAAGATCCTCGGGGGCAACGGAAAAATCAACAACAACAGTTGAAGATGAGCCGGGGGAAGGGAGAGTCATACATAAGTCATCGCGCGAAGCTGACGTTAGTACCGACTTAATCTTCTTATTACTATTCCTGGTAATCCTTTTCTACTATTAAACGTTTTCCTAAACTAAAAGATCCTTTGGTTTGTCGCGTTAATTTGAGAGAGAATCGAAAGTGAGCATCGTCAGCGCGACATAGAGACGCTATGGGTGGTATAATAAAGAGCCAATATTTATACCGTGTACTGTTACTTTGGCTCCTGTTCATCAATCGATGATCATGTCAGACTGTAAGCAATGGCTCACAATAGCAACCATTATAGGCTCCTCTTAACTTTGTCGGAAAAACTGTGTTCAAATCGTTTCGCAAACGAATGGATATTTCAAAACTTGATTTGAACCCTTTTTTTTTCATGCAATTCGGGACGCAATCGATGGTTTAATAAGAGAACTTAATTTCTAGAAATTAATCAAAATTAAGTTCTGTCATTGGACTATTGGCTGCGTTCCGAATTATATAGAAAAAGTATTTACATTTTCATTTTAAAACCAAATGTACCTACATGTATATAAATGTGATTCTTTTAATTTTTTAAACTTTTTTTGCTCACATTACTCTGTGTCTTAAATTGTCAGAAATTATACATCATCCGAAATGAAATTATTAATAAACGTTAACACTTACTACTAGTTTTGAAAGACGATAGTACGCAAGTGTAAAGAACACATTATTACATTCTCATATTAGTTATGCAATCGTAAAATCTTATTATTACTTTTACTGTCTTGGAAAGTTGTAATTACAATACTCTGTAGATTATTTGGATATATTTCAAGTATGCAAGAATTATCTGTCGAGAGATGTGTAAAATGCGAAAAAAGAAATACACGCGCCTTATATCAAGTTACAATTATTGCACATTTAAAGAAAATTGCATCTTTTATGCAACGGAAAACTGATAAACCTCGTTAAGGTATGTATTATTTTTCAACTGTCATAGACAATCACTTTCTTTTTTGTTGTAATCTTGATAAAGCGTAATATCAAATTTTATATAATAAAACTTTTCGCGCTCGACGACGATTATTGCATTATTAATGTGCTGGCGGTGGTGATGAAGGTGGGTCATGACGTGAACCCTACAAACACAAACAATTCTATGTATACCGCATAGTCGTATATTTAAGTTTTCACTAGCAAAAAAATGTGTTATACTCACAGGCTCATTATTGCGGCTCTTGATAATATCGTTATTTAATCGTTGCAAAGGCCGTGGTCTCAATATATACATGAGAATGATAACACCGAATATTAAACAAATATTAAGGAAGAAAATTGGGGATTCTTGAACAACTTGCGGTTCTGGTACTGCAAAAAGAAAAAAATTCACGTTGATATTATAATAAGATTTTTTTACGTTTTTATCATAAATTAATAATTCCATATTCAGCTTTGAATTAAACACGAAAAAGCAATGAATTAAATCGAAATAGGATTTAATCGTTGTTAGTAAAATCAACAATTGATAATAGACGTTAATTACAAACGATTGATATATTTATCATGATTAGTAATATTTAATAATAGTACAAAACATGATACGTACATCTTGATATGTTGAAGCATTCAGTATCCGTGCAATAATCCTGCGATTGTCGCAACTAAAACAACAATTTATATACAATTAATATACAGTTTATGTATATTTTTGGTAAAAATATACATTCTTTCTATTTGCTAAATACGTGCAATGAGCTAACTAAATTTTTAACTTTCTGCAGATATTTTAATTAGCCAATGACATAATATACAGGGCCATATTCAAGGCGGTATATTTCGTACATCCGCTTGTGTGCAAATAGAAGGAGTTAAACTCATAGAAAAGGTAGATTATACAAAATTCGTAATAGCTGACGAGGAATTAATTATTCTGTCTGAGCTAATGAGCGCACGAGAAGCGGTAGGCCGAACATATGGAAAGAAAAATGTCTTCTACCGGTGCGCGATCGTGACATTTGCGAATCGCCGCGTTCCTCCGCGGAATCTGTGTTTCTCGGTATCGCTCGTAGCTTTACGCGCAGGAACGCGGCGATTCGAAAGTGTCACGGTCGAAGACATCTTTCTTTCTGTGTTCGGACTACCGCTTCTCGTACACTCATTAGTTCAAACAGAATAATTAATTCCTCATTAACTATTGCGAATTGTTCATAATAGTTTCTACCTTTTTCCATTTGTTTAACTCCTTATATCTGCACACGAGCAGCTCTATTACTTCCTAATTTTGAAATATTTGAGTAAACAAAAAAATTGCTGTCATCCATCCTGTTTTTTTCAGAGAGCTGTTTTTAAAAGGAAACTAGTAAAAATATTGATAGTTTTTAACTACTGACAAATAGAGAAATAAAAATTGACAAGAAAATGAGTTTTTTTTTTTTTAATGGTGAACGTTTTAAATCGAGCAACCAGAAAACTCATAATTGTATTTGAGATAGATTGACCCGAAACGTTAGAAAGAGTTTACGTTTTATATATTTCTACTCTTTAACAAGCTCATATAAGAATTAGTCGTTATCGTGATCACAAATCTGCATCTGCTTCAAAACTAAACAAAAGCAAAAGTAACTGTGTGAACATTCTCTTTTCTTAGATTTTCTTTATTTTTATCATTCGAGTCTTTGTATTGAATTCATGAAATGCATTATATATTGCGTAATTGAAACATTTTTATGTTTCACTACGTGGCGTAACAATGCTTCTGCAAGCTGAATAGGAGTCATTGCATCACTAATTATCCGGATTAAGAAACTGACTTCGTTATCGTTTGGCTTGATAATATAAGAACAAAAAAATGAGAAAAAATCCATATCCTTCAGTCGCGCACGATTTTACCGCGATAATCGCAGTTTGTATCATCTGTCACGTAACTTACAATAGAAAGTAGATGTTGTATAGACAAGTGATGCCGCATGCACTCGCATGGATCAAATCCTTCGTCACTCATCGCGGTAGCAGGAGAGCTTTTCGCGTTTATAGTTTGCCACTGCTGCACATAGTAATTAAAAAATTGCTGTTTAGGAATACTTAGTTTCAAATGATTCAATAGAATTTTTCACAAATGCAATATGTTGCTCCATGCAAATAGATATTTCGCCAATATTAATATACATATTACTAGATTTTTAAGCGAGTTCAATGTGAAAAATATATACAAATAGCAATTACAAATTCAGATTTGGTATTTCGACAAATTCGCAATTTGATAAAATTTGTCGAAATATCAAATGTTGCAGTTAAAATATTGTAATCCACAGCGATTTATTGAAACAAATAACTTTAAAAACATGGGAGGTTTCACATTAATTAAACTATTACGTAAAAGTCAGGTGTCGTTATTATCATCAAGTTTCGCCGATATATAAAGCAAACTGTCAACGTTGCACGGACGTGAAATGGGAAAATATTCGACTTCTTATCTTTCGGCGAAGCACGACTGTACTTAAAAATAGCTTCTGTTATATATATCATGAATATTATATAGGTTATCGATTATATAGGTACATCGGCGAATATTCGCGTTTATCATAATAATGTATAATATTTTAACAACTTACAATGTATTATTTCTTTTTTGAGTCAGTTACTTATTTGTCCTAATAATAAAATAACATCGCGATATTTGGCAGTTTATATAATAAACATACCGCGATGTATGTTTGTCGAAACAATACGTCTTACACGATATAATATAATTCACGAAATGGTTATGGCTATCACGATATGAACGAATTACTATTCCTAGATTCCGTGCAATTTATGAAGGCCACATCAGGCGAAACAAACAGCATACAAACAGTCAAAGATATTACAATTGCTTTCATATTACGCTTTTCCTTCTATTCAGGCGCGTTTGTTTTTGTCGACAAAAACGTAAAAATTTCTAAGCGACAAGAAGAAAATTTGTCCGTATGGTGAGTCGTCGGCGTGTCTGACACGCAACGCGTTCTAGTAGCAACAGCCTAAAACGCGCCATTAGAGAGGTAGTATAATAAACAATCATGTGGCTTTCTTAAGAGCCAGTTGGCATGTTGATACAATGTGCACGAACAAAAAAACAAAGACATATCTATTATGCTCAATAATGATTACGATGAAAATACCGTCGAGCATATACATTCAACAAACTTACCGTGTCGGTCGAAAGACAGAATAAAACGAAATTATTTCCGTATAATAATAAGTGACAGCTCGTCACTGTAGACGTCTTAGATGTATTACGATTACATTCCTCGATTCGTGCCAGCCATTACGGATGTCACTTTCAACAGAGAGAAACCATGAGAGCGGCCATCGCCAAGGAGAAACGGTCGTTCCGATACGCCCTCTGAGAGCGTGCATATAAACTACCGTCCGTCACTTTTCGGCAGGCAACGTTAAGTGGTCCGTTCCATTTCTTCGCGAATAAAGGCACAAATTCATAAGACCCCGCGAAAAGAAGATTGTATATAATAATATAAAATTATATATAATTATGCATAATCATATGTGATTTATATATCTGAACTCTATGTGCAGGAGCTATAACTTTTGGATATCCACGGAGCTTGCAAACGTTACCATTACACTACCTCGGAAGGAATAGCGTTTGCAGTTATGACGTAGCATACTACCATTGGTGATGATTGCGTTTGTTAGCACTATCCTCTAACCCCGCGAACAACCTTTAGCGCTAAATAGCGCTAACAACGTCTCCCCGAACGCATCCGTAGCATGTTAGTAAGACAGAGAGCGAGATGCTACTTAGACGTGTCGCAAGCCTCTTTAAAACCTGTATCAGATTGAATTGAAATTCGACCAATCAGTGTAGAATCCACTAAATTTCGCTAATCCTGAGTTTAATTAACTTCACACTGATTGGCTAAATTCAATCTCAATTCCCAATTTGTAATCTAGTACGGGGGGCTTAATCGCTCAGTTCAGTATGTTTAGTTCAATGAGAATAGCAGCTCGGTCTATGTATTTCAAATGTCTATGATAGCTGCTTTGGCGAAAATCGTGGGGGTAATACGCTGACTTTTCTTCGCTGCATGAAATGGAACCTTAAAGAACGTCACAACCATGGTCACACCAGTTCAGTTATAAAGAACGTGTACACTTTTTGAAATGCAGCCAGTTCAGCTACGAACAACAAACCTTAGATGTCTGAATATTTTTGCAACCAGCTGTGCCACCAGAATTGAAGAAAGAAAGGAAAGTGACCGACTGCAGCTTTTGATTTCAACTGATTGAAATCTGTTGCCAGTGGTTTTCATTGTGCATAGGCCTTAAACAACGCTATCCGCTCCATTCTTGCTTGATTCTCTCTCTCTCTCTCTCTTTTTCTCTCTCTCTCTCTCTGGTACAGCGGATATTCGTATGAACGTACCTTCATCGCAAATGTCAGAAGTGTGAATTTTGTTTCGTGTACAAACAATGACGCTAAATCAACTCGATTAATCTAGCTTAAATAAATTTGAAATACATAGTGTTAATTCTAATGATTGTCGATGTCGATCAAAAGCGGCCAACAGCTGTTGTGTCAATTGTTGTATTTATTATCACGCGCTATAAATTAAGCGGAACCAATTATACTTCTCAACTTTTTAATATCTAGAATGTTTTTCACCGATTCTCTCCCACAATTAATTCAGTTGACCTAAAACGTCTACACATGCCTATTAACTAATGGGGAACGAAAAAAGTGCCCTACGTGGGCTCGAAATTGAAGATAAAGCTGTTGAAGTTACAGACTACTGGATGCATTATAATGCGAGTGTACATGATTCAAGTCTGCAAAAACTGTCGATATTTATCAGTGAACCATCCTTGCATTTTACCGCGACATTTGGGAGACCTTCACCGTTAGAACGAGCAGCGAAGGTGAATTTCTATTTGTTTGTTTAGGTGGAATTGATACAGTAGTGATCCTATATGTTTCACTTAAAGGAAACTTAATAGGCTAATATTTCTTTTAAATCCTATGAAATAAAAATCATATTACAATAAGTTTTCTTCGTGTACAATAATAACTTACATAATTTATATATGCTATAAAAAGTCTGGGATATTTTAAAGGTATTTTGTTTTAGAATTTCATGTTATACCGACATCCTTGTATCTTGAAGTATATTTCTTCATGGAACAAAGGTAGCAAGTTCTTCCTTGCTACAGAAGAAGTTAGACCATTAATTCAAGTGATTGAAAAACAAAATATACTACAAATATGTATTGGTTTACATAGTATCCTGCGAGCTTTAATATTCTTACATGAGACAGCATTGGCATCGCACAATAATGTATGCAGCAGCTCTATCTATGTTACTGCAGAAGGATATTGGAAATTAGGTGGATTAGAATGCCTATGTAAATTCGCAGATGCGACATCGACATACTACCAAAGAATAAAAAGTTACAGGTATGAGAAAGGTATATCACCGAATGAAGATATAGCTGACTTGGCTAAGTCTGCTAATCTTGCTGCGATTGATTCATATGCATTTGGAATATTAGCGGAAGATATCTTGAAAAATTTACAAGTTACAGGTATAGAGAAATCAAAAACTATCTATATATATTATCATTTTGATACAAAATATTTTAAACTTTCAAATGATTTTAGATGAAGCACCAAATATATTGGAATTTAGCGAATTCTGTAAAAAAAATCTGCAGAACAAAAATGCATGTTTGAGAAGTAGCATACTAAATGTACTGCAACATTCTTTCTTCACTCATGAATTTATAAGAATACACGCATTTCTAGAAGAATTGCCACTGAAAACTGATGTAGAAAGAGAAGAATTTTTCACGTGAGTCACACCTTAAAGGAAAATATTATAAAAATTGTACAACTTAGAATAATAGAATAGTCCATAGAATTGTCCATAGAGCGTGTAAGAAATATAAATCTTTTATAGAACATTAAGGCAGCAATTGCAGATGTATCCCGAAGCTGTAGTTGCTGAACAACTTGGCAGAGTGCTTCTTTCCAGAATGGTCTTGTTGGACAGTACTGCTCAAGTAAAACTTTTACCTTTTATTTTTAAACCTAAAGGTGAGAGAACATCTATATTCTGTAAAATCTTAATTATCTCTGCGTTATAACAGTGTATCTTATTTCACATAAGAAGTAATCTAACACCAAATTTTTACAGATGAGATGAACGACTTGGGAACTAGTCTATTTACAGCTTCCACCTTCAAAAGTATTTTAGTACCAAGGCTTCTGCAGATGTTCTGTATTCGAGATGTATCTATTCGTCTATTGTTGTTGTCTCATTTCAATTCGTTCGTGCACGTATTTGACATAGACGATCTGAAAAGCCACATTCTTCCCGAATTACTCGTCGGCATAAAGGATACCAACGATGATCTCGTTTGTGCCACATTAAAAGCATTGGCCGACATCGTACCGATCTTGGGTGCAGCGGCAGTTATTGGTGGTAATAGGGGGAAATTATTTACAGACGGTCGACCAAATAAAAGTCAGAATAGAAAGATCGGTGATATTAGAAAGGTTCTGGCATTAACCAAGGAGATACAGAATGTCTATGTGAATATAGACGAGAATAATGTGCATCTATCGGAGAGACCATCGCCGGATGGCGGTGAAGATAAGAGAGAAAAAGAATTTCCATTCGTCGAAGAGGAATGTACCTGGTCAGATTGGGAAGCGCAAGAGACGGTTGAGAACAACCACAGTTATATAGAAGCTTCTTCAGATATTTTGCAAGCAGAACCGCATACCAATACTGGTGATGCTGACTTATCAGAATCGTCGTCAAATCCAAAGAAGACAAATTATAGAAAGAAACTGGTAATTTCCGACATTACAGAGCTTGACATAAAGAATTCCAAAACGATAAAATGTTCGAAGGAAGAGTTTGATTTTTTCACGGATATGGAACCTGTGATAAAGAAGACGCAGATTTTACATATTGAGAAGACGGAGTCGCCAAAAAACATGTTCGACATAAGAACGTCGAGTGTTACTTTAGAGGAACACGATGACAATGGTTGGGGAGAAGATTTGAGCGATTTAAGTATAGACGATGCTGATGACACTACGATATTGTGAATTACCCTGTACAAAAGAATAAAAGAAACGTTTGCTTAAACTTTTCTCAGATTCTAGAACGATTAGACGCTAAGAAAAGGGCGCGTTCGCCAAAAGGGTAAACGTGTCAGAAACTTTCTTCTTCCTCTTTATACATCCTATAAATCCACTTGTGCAGTTTTTATACATTATAATTGTTATAGCTGTTGTTATTTTTATTTTCACCATCACTAATATTATTAATGTTCCATCACGCACGCGCGTGTGTATTACTTGCGATAGAACATTAATAATAGTGTGTGTACACATGCGCACACGACTAAATATAATAAAATTCAATTTAAATGATGGATTATATTTTAAATGTAAACTTCTTTATTTGATAAATTTAAATTATTGAATAAAATTATATTATTAATTTAACATTAGATATGATTTGAAATGTGTCAGATATTAATTCAAACCGGTCCAAACGTGTTTCAAAAATGGCAAAACTATTATTTCTTTTTCGAGAAAAAGCGATATAGCCGTACAATTTATTTTGTGCTCACCTATTCGCTTACTACAGTAACGTAAAAAAAATTGTACACGCGCGTATGCATAAATACATAACACAGTACATAATGTAACATACAATTGTTATATTGAATAATATTCAACATACTTTGATATATATATATATATATATCAGTATATTATTTACTCTTTCTTCCGAATATCCTAATTAAAATATTTAAAAATTTCCTGCTTTTAATGTAATTCAACTTGACACTCCACATCAAACGCTGGTCTTTCTCACATTAAATTTCGAAGTCAAAAGAAATTTTGTCATATACCATCACTCAGAGTTGACGTATGAGGAATTTGAGGAAGGAATTTTCCAATATTTTATCGATAAAAAAGATTTTTTGAAATTCAAAACTATCTATCAGTAGGTAAAGCTTGTAGAAGCTGCCTTGCTCTTTTATAAGCAATCGATTCCATAATTCCATTTTTGTTTTCTTCGTCCTCATCTTCTGCCTTTCTTATAACATCCATACCCTTTCTTAATAGCACTTCCCGTGCCATTCCTTTGCAACCTTCGAAATATTCCAAAACAACAGGGAAAATTGTATCAGGTATAGAATTTTCATCCAATAAGTTGTCTATCAGCCAAATCTGCCTAATCTTTTCGAATTTCCATTCACTCCTGGAATGTTTCCACTGTAAAACAACAATTACATTATGCATATATTATACAGAATGGATCTAATAAGAAGTTCATTACACTTTTCTCGAAAACGGTTAGAGATAGAGGGAGATTATCAAAAGCGTACAAAGGACATACGAGGAGACATATTTTGACTGTTTCGTTGTATAGAGCAAAGTAATTCAAAGTCATTTTTCAATAGAATCATATAGTTTTTTTTCTCTTTTTTTTTTTAACAAATCGATTCCTTTGTGCATACAAAAAGTACGAAGGTAATTGACAACTGAGTAGTGAATTTTCAAGATATTTTTCGTAATACTTTTCGAAATACTTTATTTTTCCATTATATTTCTGATATTTTCTCCGAACAAGATATGAAATATCCCATATTTACTTTTTGATGACATCACCTTAACACTTTTCCACATAATATTATAAGAGAAATCGATTACTGATATTAATCATTGCGCATTGGTGCATCAATGTAACTTGCCAAATACAATAAATTTTTTGTATGGTTTCTTTATATTTACAAAGATCCATTCTATTTGTCATTCTATGTACAAGAGTGTGAAGGTGATGTTATCGAAAAGTGAATACTTTGACATATTTTATATTATATAATGAAAAATAGAATTAAAAGTAAAGTAATTCGAGAAATATTCACTTTTCAGTGATCTTACACTTTTATATTCAGAATGAGCGAGAAATCAATTTGTGTTAAAGAAAATTATATACTTCCATTACAAAAATTAAAGTTGATCTTGCAATGATTTTGAATTATTGGCTATACAACGAAATTAAAGTCACCGAAGTATGTCTCTCTATATATTCAGCACTTTTGATAATGGAGTAATCTCCCATTATCTTTAACTGTTTTCAAGAAAAGTGCGGTGAACTTTTTTATCAGGTTCACCCTGTATATTTATTGCATAAGTCGTATTGTGTATACTTAATATTACCGAATATTACTGAATTGATTAAGCATTAAAAACTATCGATGTAGAAATAAATGATATTAAAAAATACCTTAGATACATAATTCAATGCCCTCTGCATGGCAATTATTCTACTGACGTGTCTCTTTTGAGCTTCCCTTTGTAAAGCCTTTTCTTTCTTCAATTCTCTTTTAGATGGTTTTTTCGAAATTTTTATGTTCTCATCGATATCTTCCTTCAGGATATCTTCATTAATAGTAGCATCGCTATTAAGATAAATTGTCCAATCAAACATATATCTTATCTTTATTTATTGATTACAAATTACTTTCTTAATTATTTAGGACATAGCATTAATTCTTAAATTTAATCACTTTTTAACATATACAGAAAATATGACAATACCTTATAACTTAATATAATTGCGGCTAAAATTAAAGTTTTACTAAAATTTAATTTGAAAAAAAAATTCTTTATATATACAGCATTACAAAAGTTTCAGATAAGTTGCTTACCTGACTTTTACTTTCATTAGCTTTTCCGAATCTCCAATTTCCTGTGCAATAAATTTTGTCTTCTTTCTTCTTGTTTGTTTCTGTTGTACAATACTTTCTTGGAAAGTCTTATTCTTTTTGCAATAGTTGTTGATATCAGCATCTGTGAAAAAAGTTATAGATAGGATATATCCAAAATCATGACATAATGATTGCTGATAGAATATATCCAAAATCGTGACATAATTCGACAAAGGATCATTTATCATGGAAAGTTATGATATAAAATACATTTTTTATGTGAAACTTCATCTTTGAAAAAGTTTATTTTAAAGATTAAAAAATGATAAATATGCCAATTTAATTTTATATTACTTTTTGAAGCTTGAATGACCTTCAATTATTACAATTAGTTTAAATACATCATTAAATAAATATTCATATGTAAAAATTATTTTGGACATAAATATGTAAGAAAATTTTTTCACATTTATCTTTGTATTCTTAATTTTTTTTATTACCATATTTAACAAAGCAAATAAAATACTTGTTAGTAAATATTAATATGGAATTTTTGTTTATTTTCGAAAATGCAGAGAATATTATTTTTATATTGATACATATAATTGCGAGTTATATACCTTATATATTTTGGATAATACAGTACTCCCCAAAATTAATAATACAGTAACGAAAATATTTGTAGACATTGTTGCACAAGTGACAGTTAATATCAAGTTTAATGAACAACTAGAAATTTAAAGAAATACATAAGATATAATTTACCATCGGTTTTTTGCTTTTCACTTTTCCGTTTCCTAGGTTGTCTAAGTTTGATTTTTGTCGTATTCTCGGCATCCATTTTATCGTAGAAGACAAATTAACGTCCTTTAATTTGCTTTAAAACACGTGATCAGTCATATCATACAATTTGGCAAAATAAATATCTTAGGAAATGATACAATTTAAAATATGCCATGCGGTTCACGCGCGACTAACCTAACGCATATCACCATGCGGTTGACGTCGTTGTAAATTAACATTAGGTTGGGCTAGGTTTGCGCGCTTTCTCTTTCTAACAGCTGATTCAAATGAAATTTAGCTTGATTTTTATGAAATTATAGAAATTAATTTAAAAACGAAAAATTTAAGCGAATGGAAATCTTGCTTAGGAGGATTTTGTTAATTTTTGCAAAATAAAAAATTCCTTAAATAAAAATTACATCACGGATGACAGGTTGATGCCAATTGTTAAAGGATAACAAATCAGAAAGAGATGTTTTGCGCCGAATGTTGATATTTATTCCCGATAAGCAAGAAATCATTATTGCGATGCTATTACAATGATATGATATACAATGACATGTAACGCTTTCGAATATGTCCCCTCACAGTACGTCAACATCCCAAAAAGATTACGATAACCTTAAATTCTTCTTAGTTATGGCTGCCTAAAGTCTTGTTTCCAACGTTAGTAGCTAGGCTCTTATGGCTTCTGCCCACAGGACGCAACAACGATTGTCGCGCGACGGAAATTCGCGCGGTAGCCAATCAACATGACGTTTTTCGGTAATAACTAGTAGTTTATTGTCTAGTAGTTTGTGACAAGTAGTTTAATGATTGGTCAATTTCTTAAATCTTACGCCTTAAATTGTAAACCCCGCTTTAGTCCTAATCTATAATAGGTGCTTTAAGACTCAAGAAATTGACCAATCACGATCAAATTATAAAAAAATAATCAATTGTGATCGGTTAATTTCATAAAGCTTAAAACTTTATTGTAGACTTAGCCTTAAGGGGAAAGTTTACTGTGACAAGAGAAAAAACAGGCCGATTTTCCGGATTTTTTTTCTAACAAAATATGACTCGTACATTAAATTAAATTAAACCGTCATCTTTATTATATATTCAAATATTTGTAAAAAAATTTTCAAGTCGAAATATTCAAAATTGCCGTCGTGGCACTTCTTCAAGTGCAGGTCCGTTTTTTTTAGGTGCCCAAACGGTGTATATGAAATCTCACGTCTGGGTGATCTGAAACAAAAAACAAAATATGGTTATCATCTACACAGTATTGACTCTCGTCTGACGGAGGATTTTGTCGATAAAAAATTTTGGCGCCGAAAAAAAATTCTTGAAATTTTTTTCTATTTTTTTGCCCAAATTTGATGTTATTATTGTTTATAACAATTACACAAAAAACGATATCAAAAAAATGCTCCGCCAGACGAGAGACACTATTCCAGAGAATATGTGGTTAAAATTTCAAGTCGATTCATTCATTAAAACTCGAGATATCGTGTACACCGTATTGAAAAACTTAGTTTCGAGAAAAACGCGTTTAAAGTTTCGGTATTAGTTTTTTCAATGAAAAAAATCATTTTCAGCTTCTTACCATTAATCGCCCATTCCTGCTTCATATAGTACACCTTCTTCTTCAAGGAAATCCTCTTCGAGTGCCGATCGCGCCGTTCTTCTTTCGATTCTCCCTTCTTTTGAAGCGTCGAACGACCGTTCGTTTGCTTGTGATATTCTACGCTCGTCCACGGTGTTACATAAATTGAAGGCGTTTTGTCCAATTTTGATGTTCATAACGTCCATCATTTTGAGGATACTGGAGTAGCCTTCATTGAAAATGCTCGAGGTTCACAATTACTGTATTTAACGACTAAGTTGAATCCAAGTCCACGGATACTACTTTCCGAAAAAGTCACATTTCCACCGCACGTTTTGCACATGATCATTTCACTCAGCGTTTGAAACAAGAATAAAAATTCAATCAAACGGTATCCATAGCCATTATTAATTTCCACTTCCACCGATTTCATTCTTAATTTTTTCGCGGAAGAACTTGTCGATTCCGTTTCATTCTCCATCGTATGGCGATTTGGTGGCGGCGGTCTTTTCCTACGTCGTGAAGGTCGTCCGGGAGTTTCGCGTGAACCCTTTCGGTCGAAAGAAGCAGGCTTCATTTTGATAAAAGTATAAAAACTATACGTTAGCCACGCGGGAAACGCCGAAACGATCACAGCTGTTCGACACACTGGCCCTTAAAATTACACACTACCGGCGTTCTTACTGTTGAAATCGCTTTTAACTGACTATAAAATATACCTAGTGACATCTGTTGATCGACTTGGAGTATTAGAAATGTTAGAAATTGAATTGCAAGTCACTACGCTGTACCCGCTGAACAGATAGGAATTTGCCGCAGGTACGCGTTTCGGAGCGCTTCGGTAAAAGGTCGAAATTTCAATGAAGAAAAATTTAGCCGGATATAACACTTAATGTACCTTATTTTAGAGGGTGCAAAGTATTTTTTAAGCCAATAAATAAAAATTGATTTTTTGAAAATTTTACAGTAGACTTCCCCCTTAAAGTGGACTCTACAATGAGAATTTAAGCTCTAAGCCTTAGGAAAGTGATCAATGTGATCACAGTCGATTATTCTCCATATGTTCGGCTGTGATTGATCAATTTCTTAAAGCAAATACCTATCGTTGACCAAAACTTACACGAAGGCTCGTCTATAATACTGGTATAATAACATTAAAGGTGCGTACTGGGAGCGCCGCGCTGTCAATCGTTCTTTAGATGTATAACAAAGTTAGAATACGCTAAATAGTGCGTTACTTCGAACGCATCAATAGTCGGATTTTATCATAGAGATATAAGAATAGAGGGAACAAGGGATATATGCTGTAAGTGGAAGTGATAGAAGTCAAGAGAGAGATGGATGCCGAGTGTTCTGTCTCTTTCTAGTCGAGCGCTGTGATTGGTTGTTACAATGAGCCGCCAAGACGACCACGCGACGTCAGGAGGGGAGAAAGCAGACTAAAATTTCGTTTTGTAAATATGCGTGCACATGTGTGTAGAATTAAAATTCGTTAAATATTCGAACGTTAACAAAATAATAATTGAACGCGATTTGTTTAAAAATGAAGCATTGTTTGAAATGCAAGGCGGAGTCTTATTCTGGATGTAACCGCAGTTTTCACTCGTAAGAAAGTACAAATACGTAACCTCAAATAATTATATGTTATTTTTTCCTACATTTAAAAAAATATGTAAATGTTATAGGCTACCGAAGGATGTAGACGTAAATGGTTGAATATACTTCAACTACCTTTGTATTTTGAAGTGAAAACAGCATATATTTGCAGTGATCATTTTAGCAATGACAGTTTCTTTGAATTGGATGGAGAAAAATGTATAGCTATATCGTCGTTGGCGCGGCAGCCAATCCCAGCGCGTGACTAGAAAGAGACAGGTAGGACACTCGGCATCCATCTCTCTCTTTGCTTCTAAAACTTCCACTTACAGGCTTGTTCTCTCTATTCTTATATCTCTATGGATTTTATATTTAATGACCATTTTACAATGGCCGTAGGAATATGGCAGTTAATGGCTTCTGCCCGCACGATGCTTGGCGCGCGGTAAAAAGCGACGCGATAAACTTTTAGTTTTCCTAATGGAAAAACAGCACGCTCCTTGCCTCGCGGCAAACATTATCGTGTTCTGTGGGCAGAAGCCATAACAGTGAGAAATCGATCGATCACGGTTGAATGTAAAAAGAATAATCGACTGTAATTTTGTTATAACTTCGACAATCAGCAGCGAAACTACTTGAATTGTTTCAAATAACTTTCGAAGAATGACGATAATTTTCCACACTTTGGACACATTCGACACCGAATTTTCAGCGGACTCTGTCGAATGGTGTCCTGTAAAGCCATTTCGGGATGTAGTAGTATGCGGAACTTATCAGTTGACTGAAAACGACGAGAAGGCGATAACGAAGAATGCATTGAAACGACTTGGAAGGATTTATGCGTTCCGTGTGACGGACGACGGGAAATTAACGACGTTACAACGAATAGACGTCCCAGCCGTATTGGACATGAAGTGGCTGCACTGCCGAGATAAGGAGAATAGAATATTGCTCGCAATTGTCAATTCCATCGGATATTTGCAAGTGTATCGACTGATGGGCGATCGAGGCACCGAAATGTTAAAATTAATTGTAGAGCAAAAAATCAGCGATGACGATATCTTGGCGTTATCTTTGGACTGGTCCACAGGAAGATATGTTTCCGACACGCGTATCGCCGATAGCTTACATATCATCGTCAGCGACTCTCGAGGATGGGTATCACATTTCACACTGCTCGGGGATGATTTAATAAGAGACTCGTCGTGGTGCGCGCATGACTTTGAGGCATGGATCGCAGCTTTCGACTACTGGCAAACGAATTCTTTCTATTCTGGTAATGTACAATTTGACAGTATTTGCACCTACCTACCTTACTCAACTATCCTTTTCAAACTGTAATAAGTGAAAATCATCCATAGAAATGCACGAACAACAATGCACGTAAAATTTCAGGAGGCGACGATTGCAAATTTCAAGCTTTCGATAGCAGAATAGGACCTGTGGCTTGCAACAGAGCGCACGGCGCCGGTGTGACTAGCATCCACAGCAACGCTAACGCAGAATTCTCGCTCGTAACCGGAAGGTGAAACAACATTTGAGTACATTAAATTTAAAGTTATTAGAAACTTATCCCATGTGAGAGACTGCAGATCTGCATTTAAAGTTAGATTTCAATATTTTGTTTAAATTTATATAATATATGCGACGTTGTATTCGTAATCACGATTCAGCTGAAGAACACATCTAATTCTAACATCAAATTTGAGTATCTTATCCGAGGCAAATTTCAAGTAACAATTATTAACATAATGAACTATTAAATACAGATCTAAAATCTATATTAATAGTTCATTATTTGAAATTTGTCCCAAAATACTCAGATCTCTGAGTTTTACAGTTAAATCACAAATGTAGTGCCATGTTTATGTCAAAATTCATCTGAAGAACTCGGATCTAAGTTCAGATCTAAATATCTCACAGGAGACAAGTACGATTATCAATAGAAGATCCAAGTAACAACTAATTAATAGTCTTAACTCTTAGACTTGTATTAAGTTTCGGCCAAGGATGACAAATTCCCATGTTAAATTTCTTAACAGTATTTTAACGCCATCTAAAAGTTTGACTTTAAGGCTCAACGACAAATATATACATAGGCCAAGCATTCCCGCCTATAGCAGCAAGCGAAGCCGAAAATTGGCAGTTTGGAATGTAATCGATAAACCAATTCAATGTACGTAACATTAACTATAAATTTTCAATACTAATACCAGAACACAACTCCGTAATATATACGCACATTACAATATTATGCTATTTTAGTCATGTTTTGAAATATTGTTACATCGTAGAAGTAATACTGCAACGTAATATCTTTGCAAAGTCTTTGTAATATCGCATTGCAATATGCAATGTTGCAACAATGTTACTGCGAGCCTTTGTGCTATATGGGAAAGATCAATATGCGCTCACGTTTGCCAGTTAGAAAAAAACTATTATTTTTGATTATCTGAAATAAAAACAAATACAAAAATTGTAATTTATTATATATCAATGGTAAGAGAAAAACCTCATTTTTATGACCAAAATGTGTTTTAATTTTAATAAATTTTTTGCATACTGACTACTACTTTATTATTTACTTGCAGTCGAAAAAGTGTCATGTAGGCTTAATTTAAAGATTAGAGAGCACAATTTAATACGGAGCGCAAAATATTAATAGTAGTTACTTGAAACTTCTCTCAAATTAGACGAACTTAAACCTCTTGCGTTGACATTTAATTGACGTCTGCGCGAGACATATGCGTTTTATTTGATGATACTCGGAGAGAACAAAAGCATACATTACATTACGTGATTTATATTGCCAAAGAAGGGTTGTGGTGGACGGTTTTGATAGTAAAACATTAACGGAGAGCATGATTCCAACGGAAATAATTAATTGACAGGTAGGATTTTTCAATCCTTCCGTTTTATTGCGATTACAGATGTAACATCATATGCGATTCAAATGAATTCAAGTCTCAATTAAAATATTTCACATGAGACAAACTATTAATACGAGCCTAAGAAACTTGGCAATTTCTAACCCTGATTCATAAACCTCTCGACCGAACGTTTCAGTTATGATGAAATTCTGAGATTATGGGACAAAAGGAACTTAAAACGCCCGATGTCGGAGATTGATCTTCGCGGCGGAATCTGGCGCTTGAAGTGGCATCCTTTTTCGCGCCGTTACCTACTCGCTGCTTGCATGTACGGCGGTTTTAAAATTGTCGACTGCGGAAACGAAGAGTCACCGGCGATCGTCAGTGAATACAACGAACATGAAAGCATATCATATGGCTGCGACTGGTCATATTTGGAGAAGGAGAGCATATCTGCTTTAAATATACGCGATTCCAAAGGTGATGTTGGCGCATTGGTAGGCACCTGTTCTTTCTATGATCATGCCTTTAAAATTTCCGCGATTTACTCCTATAACAAAGATTGATCTCTTTAATGCAAATAAAGTCCTATATATTTTATCGTCTACATAGAGATTTTATAAGAATATAAAATTTTTTACACACACAGTAAAATAATTAAGTAAAATTGATGTACCGGTCTCTTTAACCAACATACTTTTTAGTTAGCGAAATATATAAGTTTTAAGTTTGCGAAAGTTACATATAGATATGAATAGTCGTTATTTGAAACTTGCTTCAGATAAAAAGGCCTAGATTTCAATTTAGATGTAAGTCCTTTTTTAGCTGAAGCGTGTTTACAAATGTAACGTCGTATACAGTTTAAATCTAACTGAATTCGAACACCCGACTGGCGCATGCTAAAGGCTATTGTACATGAAGCACTTATTTCAATAAAGAAATATAAGCTGCGACTGCATATACGTCCGCGAGCGAAAAGATTTCGCGCGTGCGAAGAACACCTCGACCAGACATTCGCCGATAAGAGGGACAGGGTGTCGTCCAACAAAAGGGTTAAACGCGAGAGATCATCGCGTAACGACGACCCTAAATCGCGAGATATACGAAAAGAAAGAAACAAAGTTGGGCGCCTATCTTAGGATATCCTACGGTTATTGCGACGTCCCCCAAAAAATGATGTCTATAGGACGTTTCTCAGATAAAGTGTGGGTCGATATATTTGTTGTTTTGTTGGCAAAATCCACTCGTTTCCTGCTGCATTTCTGCCAACGCTAGCTGAAATGGCAAACCATGCTCAATTACTGTCGGGGTTTTGTTAATATCCAGCATGCTGTTTGCGATATGTACTACTTTTAGCCATTTAGGAATATATAATCGTTATGATATTTTAGTTATATAACTTTTTATTTTCAAATCCCGGAAAAAAATGATTACATATGACTATATATAATTACATACAATCATATGTGAATTTTGTCATATATGGTTACATATATGTCTATACGAAAAGAAATGATGTTGTCATTTAATTAAATGTCGATATTATATGTTGTCAGAAGCGCAAGTAGCCAAAAGCATTTACTTTGAGTGTATTTGCGTATAATTTGTGAATAACAATATTTTTTCGTTGTGGACATGTATGATTATACGTAGTCATAGATGGGCAAATTTCATATATGATCTTTTTTTTAATAGCAGCAACTGAATGTATTGATTTGGAATAATTAAACATCTAATAATAATATTGTCTCGTTATTCAGCAGAATATACATTAATTATTTCATCGTCAAAGTGTGCTTATATATATATATATCATTGTAATTTGATACTTTTTGTGTGATGGCCTTTAGTGTGCACTAATGCGTGCAATGCGAATGATCGAATTTGCTGTAATTCTAAATTCAAATCTGAACATCATGAAATTTCAAATAAGGAATTTTGTTGATTTTCCACTGTAAATATCGTCTATGCAGCCGCAATTTTCACATATAATCTGCTCGAATTATCCATCCTACTGCTATCCTATTTTTCCAACGTAACGTTCTACTCGTAGTTCAGGGCGGTAGCTGCGAGATGGCAGGTCGAGCGCAGCGCGAGCTGCATTTCACTGCGGACGGTTCGATAAAAATCAGTCGTCGTCGCTCGGCTGCTTCGCAGGGGGCTATTTTGGCAGTTTTCGTCGTATTCAGTGCTCGCATTGTATTCGTGACTTGAGTGGTGAAGAAGGACTGAAGTGACGGTGAGTAAACCTCAGATCTTCCACACCCTTCCCCACAACGAGTAGGAAGAGGTGGCAACGTTTTACGTTTTCCTAAGCGAATTAGGACGTTCCAGGATCAGCTGGTGGCTGCGCGTTGCACGGTTTCCTGTGGAATGACCTAGAAGCGATTTGGCGCGTGTCCTCGCTTCGATAGATCGTCGCGGCAAAACCAACCGAGCCGAGGTCAGATGTGTTTCGGCCGCGTTACTCGCGTGTAATTATCCGACGTTTCTTCCGTCGACCGAACTTCCTCGTTTGCTCTCGAGCGGAACAACACTGTATGTCGCGACCTTTTTTGTCTCGGCGAGAGACGAAGAACCTCGGTGCGACATAGCTAAACACGCCGTCTGTGTATGGAGTGTCACATGAGAAACTTTCGAGATGCTTTAGAATAGCACGATTTTACGCATTCAGATAGTTTTATGTCGATTTCTATATGTACAATTCAGTTATTAATCGTACTATTTTTCTCCATGTACAAGAAAGTTATCATCAGAACTCGACGAATTTTATGTCTATACTTAAGCGAATTGTGCAGTTTGTAATGTCACGTCAACGTATATTATCAGCGATTTGTACCAACATTCAGTTTGATGTTTTAATTGACGATGTATTGTCGTTAGAATCAGTTTTGGTGTATGATATAAAGCCAAGCTCTATACGATGTAGACGAACGTTGGAAATTATTTTTATCATATACGTTGTACTATGTTATTATATTACTTTTGTTATATTATTACATTATGTTACATTTGCTCAACATTCGCCTACGTTACATTTGCCATATTGTGTAAAGCCGGCTTAAGAGAACGCATATGAAAAAATAACATATAAAATTCATTTAATTGCGCGATAAAAAGGTTTGGAATAAAGATCCGAGCAACACAAATTGGTTGGCTAACCATTTGTCAATGTTAGTTGGGCAACGGGTTGCCAAATATGCTGCTCGAAGAAACGAGCATGCGTATTTTTCCACATCTCCTTCGAGATGCTCCTTCTGTTCGCTTAGACTTTCGCGATTTTGACAGTCTTTCACACAATGTGACAGTTTTACGGGCTGTACTTTTCAATTTCCGATGTCGATCGCGCTCCTCGACGGATTACATCCTCGCGCTTCAATCTGTATTTCGTCGTATCGATCCCTTGACGACACTCGTATTCTTGGAAGGACGAGAAGCTACATTTGTCATTTATCAACGTGAAGAATATTTTTTTCATTGAAATTTGAATATATAGACAGAAAAGTTGGGAAACATTTTTTTTATGTTTCGCAACGCATCCAATAGAATTCCCTGAGAAACAAATTCTCCTATTGGGATATATTGCAAAAAATGACCTTTCTGTCTACTATTACATGTTTCGACGCAAAAATATGCGCGTATGAATTCGGTCCACCGGACCCCATAGTCTGGTGCTTCAGAGTTAATTTCCGCCGTGTATGTGTGTGTGTGTGTGCACGCTGAGGCGAGCCGCACTGAACGTAGTGATTTATTCTCGATTACTTCGTTACAACACGATGATCGACTTAGCACGCGAATCAGATTCTCTCATCCTTGTCGATGTGAGAGAGAGAGAGAGAAAAAGAGAGAGACGTGTCAGTGCTGCTTCGGCAGGGGCGTTGTCCTCTCGTCGTCATCATTTGTACAGTAGTGAACAAAAAGGTTGTTACACATTTTTTTGATATAAGTCTCTCTGAACTCATCCCGTGTCCAATAGGAGAATTAGTTTTTTAGTTATTCTCAGGAAATACATTCTCCTATTGGATATGAAATGCGTTGCGAAATTCGTAAAAAATAAAATGTGTAAGAAACTTTTTGTTTACTATTCGTTCGTGCGACTGTCCTCCGCGTATGTTCTTGAAAAGGAAGAAAAAATAAAAGAATCAGATTAGGGGATGAGCATGAATATACAGAGCAATCTGAAAATATGATGATGGATCAAATTAATATCATAATCAGGAAAGTTCTTTAATACAATATATGAACTGAGTGTTTACAATATCTACTACATCGAGCGCAAAAGATCGTGGGGGCAGCGTAGCGAACTGCCTTCGAGCATTTCGAAAAGATCTTATTACATGTATAATATCACGTTACATTGTGAGAGTCACGCGAACGAAAACACCGTTGCTATACAGGCGAGCCGGATTTTAAAGTAAGCACGAATTTTACCGAATCGGTAGCAACGATTCCGCGCGAGACCGAATATCAAAGGGCTGTCTTCCTAACGCTCGCGAACCTTGATTTTCAGCGTGGAATGATAAATGGTGGCCACCAGCAGCATGGTATATGAGGAGATAGTCGGTATACGGGGCAGCTGACCTCAGCCGCCGCGCACGCTTTTCACGCGCGAGATGCCCCACAATCTAAATTCAGCTTCCACAAACTCCGCCAATACGAATCATCAAGCCTATCCCCATCAGCCATACCATCGAGACAACACAGATGGACTCCAGCCCGAAGTATGTGATACATTTATCTTTGCACAGGTAAAATAGCTGCGCAAGTAATATTACAAGAATTTGTAGCTAGCTGGCTCGTTTTGCAGAAAGAGCCGGTGGAGTTCGATACGTCGCACCTGCGTGGTGCGCCAACGGAGGTCGAGGCATTGGTGCACAACATCAAGGAGGTCGCCCAGCAGTTTCTCTATCACTGGCGAACGTTCCCCATCGTCCTGCCGCTGCCGTTGTCCTCATGCACGGAGGGTGAGGACACACTGGCACGCAAGAAATACCACTTGAGGGATCTTTTTGTAGCACCCAGCTTCGACGAGCTGGACGCCGTCGCCATGGACAGCAAGGGCGAGCCTAGAAGACTGACTAACAAGCAACTGGAGAGCATTCGAGAACGGGGGTAGGTTGTTTCGCTCAAGATCGTTAGCTGTTGAGTGTAATCATAGCGACACGGTAGACAGTAGAGAAATGTAATGGACGAGCGTATATACGCTGAGAAATACCAAAATTGCTCCAACCATCGACTGCTTGTTATTTCTCGGATATTTTCACTTATCCTTTCTTAAAGTAATTATTGCATTATTACGTGTTTTAGTACTATATATAAGCTCGTTCTCAGCAGGTTTTATTGTTAGCCATCGATTTGGAGATCGTTAAATACGATCGTTAAAAAGCGATGTTATCCCGAACGAAAAGTGAGCTTTCTGTATCGTGCTCGCAAACATACAGTGCAAAATAAAGCGATCGTCTCGTATATCTCATGTGTTAATAACGATTTCTGTAAAGCTTACACAAGGATAAATATGGAAAGCCGAAGAAGCTGAATGCCACTCAGTTGGAGAGCATTCGAAGATGCGGGTACGTGACATACCAGCGACTTAAATGTGTTAAAAACAGCGTAAACAAATAACCGAATAGGTGAAGTTATACTACGACCTCGAAACTAACTAATGACACGTGCGATATTATCGTTCACCGCATGATTCGCACCGCTGCTATTATTAATGCTATTTTAAATTCGAACGATCATTTACAGAAGAGTCGGAGAGAAAGAAACACGAATTATCGTACAATTACTCGCGCGATTGGAGTTTGGTGTAATGTATCTAACGCGTGCTCATCACGATTGTCGCATGGCACTCGATTTGTAAATAATCATATTCCCAGGTATTCTTTATTTTTAGTTTAGATTGGGCTTATATATATGAATAATCGCTATGTGTAAAAAAGAAAGAAACTATGAGCTTGATCGTCAAAGAGGTTGATTATAGTCGGGCAGGTACAGCACAGATTAGCAACGCTGTTGAGTAAACGTCTCTTTGATGAAATTAGCAAGCGAGTGAACCTATCGTCGTGTAATTTCCCGGGAAAAATGATTATATATGAATTTTGTCCATATATAATTATATATATATACATATATCCTACATTTCTAAAAAAATATTGTTATACGATGTAAACACTCAATTAAAATATTTCTTTTACTTTTCATTCAACAATATTTTTTTCGTATGTGCACATGTAGAGACAAAATTAATTACATATGACTATATATAATTATACATGATTATATATAATCTTTGTTCTCAGGTTGTTATAACGCTATCCTTATTTGTTGAGGAGAAATACTGCCGGAATTATTTTCTTAGATTATACGGCGCTTTGTATGATTTTGGCCGTCACAAATCGCATCTCAATCATTCTGGCGGCACGCGTGAATGATGGACGATTCTTCTTGCAGAGAGTTCGAAGTGGATTCGATCAATTTCGCCGGGCAGACTCATCGATGGCGATTGAGCAGTCTTCTGCAGCGCGGCCGAGACAGAAGGCGGGACACGTTGCTCAGTGATCTTGCTCTGGCGACCAGATTTCTCGTGGTTACGGCAAAAGCTAGATTAGTTTCCCATTGCTTCAGTATTTCGCAGTCTCTCAAAGCCTTACTGACGGGACTATTACGACTTCTCGGTGAGTTCTGTATCCTTTATGCGCATCTGTATTATCCGCATCATATATACATGCACGTTTGCATACATACCCTTTGCAGACATTATAATTGGCGTGCCGTCGCTCCAGGCACACAATCTAGACGCTAAAATTCGGGAGGAACGTTGTCGGTATCTGGTGGCGGAATTGGTCTGCAGGGTAAGACGTTTATCTTTGTCGTCGACTCGGTTCTTTGCTCACATTACTTTGAAAATCTTGACCGAAACTCTGAAAAATGAGTTTTTATATATAGAAAAAAAAAAGCTCGGCTATCGCGCTGCAGAAAGTCAGAATGGCGTCTAATAGAATATGAACCAACTGCGTAAACGTAGTTCCGAGGATAAAGAAACGTTTAGAATAGCCAAAGCGAAGCGTGGTGATTCCCTCACCCATAATTCGGTGCAATATTGTCAGACATAGTCAAATGTGAAAGTGAAGTGTGTTGCGTATTCGAGCTAGGGATGCTAATTTCGATACACTGGAAATAAAGCGAAACCTATATGCGAAAAATTTTAGCAAATTGTAAAATTATTTTTCGTTTTTCGGATAAAGTCTTCGCCTACATTAACGCGTATATTGCAATTATGTAAGAGAATGTGTAGCAGTCAGTAACTAGTATTAACGTATTTACAGTAAAAGGTACAGGAGGACTCGAGAAAAGACGATCTTTATGTATAAGAACGGGCTATGAAGAAGCCTTATAGCGCGCACTAAAATACGCGATTTTGGATCGCGTGAATGCACTGATAATTTTTCTCGCTCTCACGTTCCAGCCGGAATATGAAGATTCTCTGGAATTGCTTTGCGGATTTATACGTAAACAACTTCGTCGGGCGACCACGGAGAAGTTCGAGGTGGAGAGAGAATCGTCTCAGTTACTGCCCGTTTCGATTCCCTTCGTATTTGGCACACCCGGCGGAGCAGCGGTTGATCTCAGATTATTCAGCAGGGACATCATCAGGAAGGCTCTGCCGACACTCGTCGCGATTCTGGAGAGAGAGACAAGAGGCTGGTTTCTTCATTTTCGAGAAAGACTGATATCAGAACTGAGAGCGCAAAAGAAGCCGGACGAGGAGATAGAACGAGTGAGGAATGCTTACATTCAAGTTGTGCAAATGGTGTCGATGCTCAACGTTTATTTGTTATTCAGGAAGTTAATGAAGCGGTAATGCACGAGTACCTGCAGAGAGTGTACTCGAATATCCTGTCGCATCCGGATATACTTGCGTTAGGCGAAGGGATCGCTCATCTGCTGGTTCAACAAGCGCAATCGGTCGTGTTGATGCACCGAGCAGTGGAGAATGTGCAACGGAAACTATCACAAACCAAAGAATCTCTGCGACACCGTATGGAAAGCGAACATCCAGTTTTGTCACGAATACGGCCATGGATGCGAGATCGCATGAGGGAGGCTGAGGAGAACTTTATAGAAGAGTGCGAGTGGAGCGCACACGAGGAAGCCCTCGTGCTTTGCAGTAGTCAGAATCTCCAACAGACTATATATTTCCTTAACCGTGATCTGACTTTCATGAAAGAGGTATATAACGCGCTTCGTTCTAGTTTTCAATTATTTGCTTCAGTTTTTTTTTCATCCAGACCGAATTATTTTACAGCGAGAACCAGTTCTTCTAAAAGAACTGCGAAAGGTGAAAACTCCAACGAGAACTTTCCAATGGCCAACGCAAATTTGGCTACCAAAGAATTGGATAATACGACGTAATTTCCAGGGTCAGTCCGAGATCATTCCAACCGTATTGAGTAATACTCCGACTTCCATTACGACACCTCGTGCTGATCCCAGCCAACCGGTCTTCTTGGTCGAGAGAGAGATTTTGCACACCACCACAACAAGGTATTAATCAAGGTTGTTAGTATATAAATTCTTGTATATTTGACGTCTTTATCCTCCTCATAAAGGTGGCCGATGTGGCGTTGGATCAATTACATCGCCAGGACATGGTGTTGGACATGGAATGCGATGTTTTTGTTGGGCGTAGCTGTACCGTGGTGCAGTCCGGTCTCCATACGTGCTCTATTGCTGGTACAGCCGTTTACCCCCGATCTGGAATTGAGTCAACTAAACGGAACGCTGTTTCCGAGAAAGTCGTCGCAGATGCCCACTCTCTGTTCTCGATTGATAGCGCTTTGGAGGCACATCAGTAAAAGTCGAACGCATTTTGAGACTGAACCGGATACCGGTGAGTGCTTCTTCCTCACAGGTTCACAGTTGTGCTCGGGGCAATGTTCATTATGAAAATGTTCTCCTCCTAGGATTCATTGGCAAGGGTATGACCAGACATTTAAACAGGCTGTGGAATTATGGTGCGAAGGGTTTCCTGGGCACGCTCATCATACTGTTTGTGTTTCCTGTGGCATGCATTTTGGCGAGCGTCGCGTCGCTGATTGTCGCCTTGACCGCGGTTTTGTGGTTAGTTTCCCACTTGAGGATCATTCTTCAGCCATTGTATCACCCTGACGAGGGAGTCATCATGGGTCTGGGAGGACAAGACAGACACATATATCCGCGGCTTTCAAAGCGTATATCGTACTGTCGAGAATGTCTAACACAGTAGGATCATTTGGGTCGATACGCACGAACCAACCCCACCTCGTGGGGTCGTCCCCTTCGTGGCCCTTCTCGGTCTTGGCAGACTGAAAAGTTTCCCAGCGAAAGCTGGCGAACGGCAGGATGCCGCCTCCCCTTCTCGGCATGGTGAGCGGTTGGTTCGAGGCGAATCTCCACCGCTTGAATCCTGAAAAGTCTAATCTTCCCGTCGTCTAGCTCCCCACGTTCCTCTCTAAATTAGAATCAATGTGAGCGGCTACATCGCTCATCCTTCCCGTTATTTTATACTTGTCGGCTCTTTCAGGATGCCTCTGATCACGTTGACGCTGCACGCATTTATGGCTCTCATCATGGATTTGGACAGTCCTGAGCCGAGTCGTAATCGATATCTCGTAGTAATGGAAGCATTAGTGTGGAATATTGGTATTCAGGGATGCTTGCAGCCTATAGCAGCGGTACTCGTAGCCGTCATCCTATGCCCCGTTATATCATTCGTGATACTTACAAGTAAGTCAGACGTTCTATCGGTAGAAAATTACTTAGAAGCGCGTTTGAAATTAATCAACTCCGCAGTTGCTGTGATACGTTATTGGATCGGAGTACTCTGGGATACGGTCATGTTCCATCTAGTGATCAAAAACAGGGGTCGGATACCGGCGAGCGATAGCTTCGTTGTAAAAAGAATAGCCGGGCCAGGGCTAGCTTCGGATTATTATTATCAAGTGAGTGTCGATTAAAATTATTCTCGCGAGAGGTGAAATCTAATAAAGCAAACTATTTTGCAACCATACAGATAAAAGCGGAACAAGCATTAGCTGCTTTCGAAGCGAAATTAGAACTGGACGAATTGCTGGCTTTCCAACAAGAAACGGAGAGATTAATTACTCAACCACAGAGAGATTTTACTCAGTTTGTGGAGGCCTGTTTCGGACCGTTCGCCGCTAGTCTCGCCAAGACGAAAGATCCGTATAAATCGTTAGAAAAGGAAGCCAAAGATTTAATTGCCGTGCTACACGAGAAATTAGATCGACGAAGAAAAAATCTACAGACGGGTCTCGGCGTCGCAGTGAGGAGTAAGATCAAGTTGGCTACCTTTGACTTAAAGGTAACTGTTTTAACATTTCATAACACTGTTGGACAAATCACGCGCTAAATGCTCATTGAATTTTCGGATGTAATTGATTTGTTCTCTCAAGTCTCGATTAAATCTGAAAGTATGGATTAAAAACCAAGGGCTCATTAAGTACTCAGTGGGCAGTTGTAGTGCTGAACCCAAGCGAATCAATTTCAGTCTGCTCTCTTTAATTGAACTAAGTTGTACTTTCTATTTTTGGAGTAACAAATATATAGGCTATTCCTCTCGCTATTAATCCGTCCTTCTTTGATAATGTCATTTACGCTTTTAACCTATCTTTTCTCATGATTTCTATTACCTTAATTTTACGGCTATTTATTAAAATTGTTCCGATTAAAGTAAAGCGTCTTTGCATTTTGTCGTTTCCGAATGTCTTCTAACGTCCGAACTAACGGAAATTCGGGGCTAGACCGATCATCACAATGTACAAAAGATTCCGAGGTCAACGTTCTGTTTTCTACTCCTGCACTGGCTGAAATAAGTTTGAGCGAGACAAGTATATTTTGTTTCTCTCTAACCTATTACACCAGTTCAGGGCTAGCAAGAGCAGGAAACAGACCGCCGCGCGAGACCTGCATGAAGCGTGAGCTGTATCTATCGAAATACTTCGGTTTGTAATTTCAGGACTATATTTTCCATGAGTTTTACTATCGATTTATGGAAAAAAAAAAGAAAATTTCGAGTTTGTAAAGGCTACCACCTTAAGAAGCTCTCTGTATAAACATTGGAGAGAAAATAAAAACTCCGGTTAAAAAGAAAAAGCCCTTCTTCACATTGAAGCACATCAATATATGTTTACAGGTGGTCATACAGCAGGGCGCGCTGATGCTGGAACGTCTTTATCCTACTCACGTATTCGCGAGACTGCCCGGGAACGAGGAGGATTTCTGGGAGAACAAAGGCTTGGCGGTATGCGACTGGGCGGGCTTGGCCGGGCTTATGTATGCCGACATCTTCAGTCTAGACTTCCTGCAACCGCTCGACGATGCGGATACCAAGTTCAAATTAGAGTCACACCCGGGAGTCGATCTGTCGCGATACACAGGCATAGTGCATAGTACCGAGCTTGGTGGCATTAACGGGCCTGACTTACTCGGCGCTGTTTACGCGCCGCGTGGAAATATTCAAGTTCACAGTCCGTACCTAGAGGTGTCGGCTTTTAATCCGAGAGCTAAGCAAGCCAGCAACAGTAGAAAGTCCGACAAGCGTTGGTAATTGTCTAAAGTCAATTGAAATTTGCCGGATTGTAAAGCTGCTTTCTCGTAACACGTGGTGATTCTTCACAGCGACACCAGTGGCCTATTAACGTCTACGAAGATCCGCAGGCGTACTATGACTACGAATAACAGCACGGAAGGAGGACGCTGGCAACCGTGGAAACGACAAATTCGTCCGTACAGCGCGGAGAAGCTGGTAATTCCTCTGCCGATTCCGCATCCGGCTCATATAGCAGTCACCATTCATAACCGCGACTCGGAGGATCCGATACCTCTTGACTCCGAACTGTGTCAGAATATTTTGCGAGCCATCGAGGAGTCTCCTGGCGAGATGGCAACGGAATGCGTCGGCCGGTACCGGGGCGGCGGCGGTGATTCCAGTTTCGACTCGGTCGCGTCACAATCGTCGGTCTCCATTGAAACCGGCCTGGACAAAGAAAACGAGAATGCTCAGGAAACGCAGCCGACTGCTAAGAAAGAAGGCGAAACTTACCACTGGACCCTCTCGAACTGGGGCGGTGGCGTGACACGAAGACGGAACAACTCTGGATCGATCAAAGTTGACCTGGCATCTCCGGAAGACGTCACCCTCGACACAGATACCACCAGAGTGATGTTCAGCACGTATGGAACTACCGTCTAAATTAAAATCCGCCGTTATATCGAGTGAATCGCTATCACCGACATATTTATACTATACGTGAAATACTACAGAGTAGAGTTGCAACTTTAGTGAATACCTGATTTTAGGGCCTTACCCTTTGCCATCACAGATAAAGTCATGCGATGCTAAAGTTGCAAAATCTACTTTCGAGTAAAAGCAACGGGCTTATTAAATTATTAATCGATATAAGAAAGAAAGCAATTAAGAATTTACTAGTAAATTCTTAATTTTAATTAGAAATGTAAATTCGAAACACTTGAAGATAATACATCGACAAATAAGTACTATCGAATCTCGAATCTCAGTAATTTGCGGTTATTATTAATACTGAGACAAAATGTAATCCATTTCTGTTGTATCGAAATTTTATCTGAAAAAGTCTATTATAAATATTACTTGTCGAGTTTATGTCGACAACGGAGTTCGTGTAAGGGTCTTCAGATTCGAATTATTAAAATGAAAGATATAAAGTGACTAAGATTCAAAGATTTCGCTATAACGAAGTCGCGACTTTTAAAATTATTATAAGAAAGAAGATTATAGAGAGAAAACGAAATATATATTCCAAATTTTAGTGCAACCAGACTAGAAGACAACCTCTCCTTAACGTTGCGTTAAGAGGAAAATGCGACATTCATATTAACATATATACTGTATATAGATAGTTAATTGTATAAATAAAACTTGTTAATCTAATATTAGTCTGGATAAATTTTCCGTTATTCACGGTATACTAACGGCAAACAGCTCGTCGCGTATAAAAAAAAAAGTTATGCTTACGATCACGCTCTTATTTAACGTATTCATATAACGTATACACTACATAGACACTAATAGGATGTGCTTACTACAATAATTTCATCCGAGTCGATCATAAAATTGTAATCCTTATAACTTGTAAGAGCGATTGACGCAACCGATTACGTCTTACGTATAATTTAACGATGTATAATATAAATTCCCGGGAAAAGAGATAATATATGAAATTTGCTTATGTATGACCATATATAACCATGTATCATCATATATGTCCACAACGATAAAATACTGTTGTATACAAATTATATGCAAATACAATCGAAGTAAATGTTTCTTGTTACTTATGCTTCTGACAGCACATGATGTTGATAAATGACATAACATCATTTTTTTCATATAGACATATATGATCATATATGTGATCGGATATGTGGGCAAAATCCATATATGATTTTATATAATTATATATAATAATATGTATTAATCACGTTTTTCCCGGTTGATTATATTACCGAATATAACTCTTGTATAATTCGTTTCGAGATCGGATACGTATATTTAACGTTTAACTTTATAATGTCCGTCGACGTCTCAATGTACATTTTATTTTATTAATAAAATCGCAATAGATGTTATACTCACCGATGTCTCCGAGACGTTATTGATCGATCGATAGCGTGCGCTACGGACTAATGAAAAAACCATATTAAAAAGTGAATGTGTATTAAGACATTGTAGATAATGGTACAAAATAGCGAATTCCGGTGATGCAACATTGCTAATTAGTACAGGATAGTGAAACTATTCAAACTCAATAAAATTTACTGTAATACGAACAGATTATTCCCCAATTTCGATCTCATCGACTCAACACGAACGTGTTGATCGGTTTATTCGCAAGTTTCAAAGACACTCGACTAAGCCTTGTTCGGAGCAAAAAGAAATATACGACTCAAACTGGCATCGATGGCCGAACTACTCAATCAAACACGTCAATGTTACGATAACGAGAATTAGTAACAAGAATCATTGCAAACAAAAGCAGTCTAAAATGGATGTCTTTGCTTTCTCTTTCATTACAAATCTTTTTTCTTTTTTTTCTTTTTTTTTTTTTAGCACTCTCAATCTATTTTCGATCCTCACATTTGAGCAGTTTTCCTTCGAGAGGGATGGCCGCACATTTTCTTTCGAGGGCAAAAGGTGTGACGGTGTAGACTTCAGAAAAGAATAGACTTGTGCATGTCTGTGCCCGGGGTGCTTACAATAACGAGTGTAGAACGAGCGTAATATTATGAACCCTTTTTTTTTTAATCGATAAAAATGCCTCTAAAATTAACTTGGGAACCATCTAATTGGCTGGGAAGCCACGGCTTCAAGGCTCGGCTACTTCTCGGACAGCCATATTGTTTTATGACATCAGGAAGTGAGAAATGACATGTACAAAATTTTTTGCTACATTCAGTTTTATTCTTAAGTTTCCCCTGAAGAACATAATCCGGTTTCGTAATCTTGAAATTTGTATTATAAAAAGTGCAAGAAACTGAGATATCCGGCTGATACGTCATGTATCATCGTATAAAATAATTACTAAAATATATATATATATATATATGTGGGTAAATTTCATATATGATCTTTTTTTCCCAGATAGTCACCTGGGATCATTTAGAGACCAATTAAAAGTCGCTATTATTAACAAAATATAGCATATTATCGATTTCTTTATGATTTATTATTACTTAAGGACTATTACAAATATAGATTATAAATATAGATTTACTCGCTACTTTTTGCAAAAAATGAAGCTAAAAAAATATTTAAGAAACGGAATAAGCGCATCAAGTATTCGTTTACGTAAAATTAATAAGATGACTATTCCCGGGTTAAACAATGAAACGAATCGATTAATCACATTTGAGAATTTCAACAGTCTTACGTTAATTCGATCGTTCGATATAATATTCGATAATATCGTAATATCGATAATTCACGATTAGCTGATTCGTTTATATTTTACCGTTTTTTTCGTTTACCGTCCCAATTCTTATTTTCATTATGCACAAGTCACAGCGTCGAAATCTGAGACTTATCGATATTACACCGGCTTCAATCCCCACGTACGTGTATCTCTAATAAGGTCTTTCGACCATACTAAGCCCCACGTAAGATAACACAGACTTTTTTACGCGGTCCCCATCGGCACCCACCGCCCCCCAGGGAAATCCGACCAGGGTAAGGGTAAGGGCGGGAGGGAAAGAGCAGGTACACGCGAAAAGGGTGACTTGAGGGGCGGCGGGAGGAATCCGCAGGGAGAGCGGCCGAGAGAACGACAGATATCGTCCGTTTATTCGGCGTCGCGCTCGTGGACGACCCGTGGACGACCCGTGGACCATTTCGATCGTGTCCGTTGGTTATTCTTTCATCGGCCTCCTCCGCGCTGGGAATTTTAAATTTGATTACAAACTGCCCGAGCGTCGTTCTCCCCCATCTCCTCCCGTCTCTCTGTCCTGCTCTTTGTCGCTTGTACCCCGCTGCTTTCTCTCGTGTTGTCTTCCTTCTCCTCACTCTCTGCCGCTCCAAGCCATTGTTTCTCGCGCAGCCCGATGAAAAACTCTCGTCGCTCGATTGCGACGGAATTATTGGCCGGCGGGCTTTATTTATGGAGTTCATTTTCCTGGAGATCGGCGCGCAGCCCATCGACGCGTCCGCTATTTCTCTCTCTGTTCCTCTCACACCATCTCTCTTTTTTTCTTCCTTTCGATTCTTCCGTTTTTAACTTGCGCCACGACACGATCAATCTCCACTGTTATTCGAATCCCTTTTTTTCTGCGTCGGTCTCGCAATCTTTTCGGACGTTTGCGAAATTTTTGCGTCGATTGCACCATGACGAGGAAGCGAAGCGAACATGGCGACGTTTCTGTCTATACTTTCCATATCTGCCCTCTTTTCCTTCTCGCCGCGAATAACGTCGCTTCCTCCAAACTCGTTCCCGATTCGCCCATTTTCCAAGTCTCCCGCGAACCCCACGTTTCGTCCTCTCCATCAATTTCTCTTCTTTTTTTTTGCCGGCTCGTTCGCCTTTTTTCGCGCGCGACCCGTCGATACGCGATTTACGACCCGTCAACCGAGGAACGAGCAGGACGTTGATAACGACGACACTTTGACGAGGAGCGTTTCCTCCTACTAGCTACGGGATTAATTCCAGACGCGAGCTCCGTGCACTCTTTTCCTCTTGCGCGCGCTTTGTATGTATGATTATCTCTAAAATATTACGATAACTCGAAGGTGTTAGGCAATATTAACAACGCCCTTTTAACGTCGTAACAAGATGGAAAAGAGAAAAATTAGGATAAAGGGAAAAATAGAGTTCATTTTGATGAAAGAAATGTATTTATTTGCTCCCGCAAGATCGACTTCAATCGCATTTAAACATTCACGACTCGAGAAAATCGCCTATCTCAAAGCGGTAAATAAAAAAATCAATTAATTTTTTTACCAGCACTGTCATTTTGTATTTTCGAAAAAACAAAAACTGTGCTGGTTAGAGCTTTACTTACTGTACATTGTACCGTAGAGATAATTACTCCTTTCCGTTTAAGAGAACAAAAAAAAATTGAAATGTGAAATTTTTAACTGCAATATTTATAATCACTTGTAACTTTCGTATCAATGCAAATAATCGAATTCTGCGATTTGTGCTGAATTGTGCTTATCGAGATCGATGGAGAAATGTTCACCGAAATTTGCAAGGTTGAGAAAATAATTGGCCAAAAGTAGTGGGAAACAAAAATTCAACATTTTCGAAATTTCTCCAGTTGTGCTGCCAGCGAATGCAAGAACTTTTCCCAATGGCAAATTTCCGTGAAACCATCGCCGTTCAGCCGAATTTGAATTCTTCCGTTGACCTGTATTTCAAATTTGGTCGTGATGGATCTTTCGAGTACGTCCGTTACAGAAGAGGCATAAATCAATAACGCGGTCATAACGACGGCAACAATGACGAGAGATCGCGCGAAACAACGTCTCTCGCACGGTTGTTCCGTCCCAGCGGCGGTGGCAGTAGCGGTCCAGGTGGCTAGCAATGACAATTAAACGTATAAACGATGGGAATTAGCCGCAAGAATTGGCTTCCACCCGCGCGAAAGCTTTCAATGGATCAGGTCCGCCTTTGGGCATCAGGGCCATTTAACACGATGACATCCCATTTACCACCCCCGTACAGTGAAAACCCAGACGCGGCAAAGCCCTGAAAACCCATATGTCAGCACGTGCCGGCAAGGCGCATCGCTCTCTTTTATGGTACTACTAAAGTCGACGCGGTAGCCCCACCGCATCGTCGCTTTGCTCGGTGACACGTCAGAAGAGGGAAAATTTACCCGCAGGAATAAACAATTTGTCAATCCTCCCTTATCGTTGCATGTAGCGTTTCACGATCAAATTTTTTTTTTCATACCGAGCAAAAAGGTATTTCTTTCATTTTATGAATTTTTTCCGATACCGGAGTAATTTACATTATGGTTCGAAGAAACCATAATGTTTAAATCAGTCAAATCAATTTTTCGCACAGATTACGCCATCTCTCGTTTCAGAGCATCTCGGAGACGCTCGATCTTAGAGATGGTATTAGCTAGAAATCGCATGGGGATGTTATTCACTGTTTATTATTATTACTATCTTTATTATCAATATATTTTTAAGTTAATAGCATGCGTAATGCGTGCGTTTCTAAACATAAAATTCGATTTAATTAACCGTTTTGTGCCTCATTGAGATCTTTAATGCCAAATTGTATCGCGCGAAATACTGCGAGGAAATTTTGGAAAAATCAACGCGCGGTTAATTCGTTAGCGATGGGTCAGTGTCCTTGAGGAACAAGTGAAATAAGTAGAAATCCCTCGTCGTATCTCAACATCGGCGACGGACTAAGGAGCATAATGTTCGGCATTGTGTTTTACGGCTATAGCCTGCAATCATAGCATCAGTTAGTTTACGACCTTCGTTTCTGAAATTTAGGAAAAAAAATGACTTTCATTTCTGCTACCTGCCAATTTTTCCCTTTCTCGGTTGCTGTCTTGTAAATGTGCGTCAATACGGTTCCTTGTAATATTCCCAGAATTGAAAATGAAAACGGCACACAACAATCCGCATTTCTTGTTACCTCTGCCGACAAGAGTAATGCCCCGCTCCCAAACATGAACACACAGTTCTTGCTGAGCATTTTATTACCTACCATGAAATCTGGTCTTAACGTCGGTCAATCCTGTGACGAATTGTAACCGAAAACGTACCCCATTAGGGGCTTGCGGTCGAATGTTCGCATCTATATAGT